TTAATAAAGAGCCTTTTTTCGTTGTTTTTGCATCAATTTTCTCCAGAGTTTGAAGGAACCAGTGAGAGGATTGTTGTGAAAATTAATAAAGAGCCTTTTTCGTTGTTTTTGCATTAATTCTCCCCAGAGTTTGAAGGAACCAGTGAGAGGATTGTTGTGAAAATTAATAAAGAGCCTTTTTCGTTGTTTTTGCATTAATTCTCCCCAGAGTTTGAAGGAACCAGTGAGAGGATTGTTGTGAAAATTAATAAAGAGCCTTTTTTCGTTGTTTTTGCATCAATTTTCTCCAGAGTTTGAAGGAACCAGTGAGAGGATTGTTGTGAAAATTAATAAAGAGCCTTTTTCGTTGTTTTTGCATTAATTCTCCCCAGAGTTTGAAGGAACCAGTGAGAGGATTGTTGTGAAAATTAATAAAGAGCCTTTTTTCGTTGTTTTTGCATCAATTTTCTCCAGAGTTTGAAGGAACCAGTGAGAGGATTGTTGTGAAAATTAATAAAGAGCCTTTTTCGTTGTTTTTGCATTAATTCTCCCCAGAGTTTGAAGGAACCAGTGAGAGGATTGTTGTGAAAATTAATAAAGAGCCTTTTTCGTTGTTTTTGCATCAATTTTCTCCAGAGTTTGAAGGAACCAGTGAGAGGATTGTTGTGAAAATTAATAAAGAGCCTTTTTCGTTGTTTTTGCATTAATTCTCCCCAGAGTTTGAAGGAACCAGTGAGAGGATTGTTGTGAAAATTAATAAAGAGCCTTTTTCGTTGTTTTTGCATTAATTCTCCCCAGAGTTTGAAGGAACCAGTGAGAGGATTGTTGTGAAAATTAATAAAGAGCCTTTTTTCGTTGTTTTTGCATTAATTCTCCCCAGAGTTTGAAGGAACCAGTGAGAGGATTGTTGTGAAAATTAATAAAGAGCCTTTTTCGTTGTTTTTGCATTAATTCTCCCCAGAGTTTGAAGGAACCAGTGAGAGGATTGTTGTGAAAATTAATAAAGAGCCTTTTTCGTTGTTTTTGCATTAATTCTCCCCAGAGTTTGAAGGAACCAGTGAGAGGATTGTTGTGAAAATTAATAAAGAGCCTTTTTCGTTGTTTTTGCATTAATTCTCCCCAGAGTTTGAAGGAACCAGTGAGAGGATTGTTGTGAAAATTAATAAAGAGCCTTTTTCGTTGTTTTTGCATTAATTCTCCCCAGAGTTTGAAGGAACCAGTGAGAGGATTGTTGTGAAAATTAATAAAGAGCCTTTTTCGTTGTTTTTGCATTAATTCTCCCCAGAGTTTGAAGGAACCAGTGAGAGGATTGTTGTGAAAATTAATAAAGAGCCTTTTTCGTTGTTTTTGCATTAATTCTCCCCAGAGTTTGAAGGAACCAGTGAGAGGATTGTTGTGAAAATTAATAAAGAGCCTTTTTTCGTTGTTTTTGCATCAATTTTCTCCAGAGTTTGAAGGAACCAGTGAGAGGATTGTTGTGAAAATTAATAAAGAGCCTTTTTCGTTGTTTTTGCATTAATTCTCCCCAGAGTTTGAAGGAACCAGTGAGAGGATTGTTGTGAAAATTAATAAAGAGCCTTTTTCGTTGTTTTTGCATTAATTCTCCCCAGAGTTTGAAGGAACCAGTGAGAGGATTGTTGTGAAAATTAATAAAGAGCCTTTTTCGTTGTTTTTGCATTAATTCTCCCCAGAGTTTGAAGGAACCAGTGAGAGGATTGTTGTGAAAATTAATAAAGAGCCTTTTTTCGTTGTTTTTGCATCAATTTTCTCCAGAGTTTGAAGGAACCAGTGAGAGGATTGTTGTGAAAATTAACTTAGTGAATTTTGCAAGAATCTCTCCGAGTTTGAAGGAACCGGCAGGAAGTTCTTGTAGAATTTGCGAAGAGGAAATTCGGGCAGGTGAAGGCCGACCGAGTTTTCTCGTTTTGTAGGGTCGCAATAATTTCTCCGAGTTTGAAGGAACCGGCAGGAAATTATTGTGAAATTGATCAACGCAAAGTACGATTAGGTGAAGGCCTATCGGAAAAACAACAAAGAAGAACGCCGAAAAAACATTCTTTTGAAGTAAAGTGTGTTTTCAGGAATGTCACAACAGTCAAAGAAGAACGCGGAGCATATGGAGTGGGAACAACAGGAGGGAGACGGAGGAAACAACCGTGGAAGCAAAGGAATCGTTGAAGAAGGAGGAAAGTGGGGAGACGGGCTGGAACCGGAAGAACAGGATGTGCTGGAAGCGGCGGAAAAGTCGAGGAAGAGTGCTGCAACTCTGGGAGACGGGAACTCGACGCAGGTATCACTCAGAGAGAGAAAAAAGCTAGTGTTAGCGTTCGCTGAGTTTGTCGGTAGCGGTGAGAAGTTGATGGAAGACATGCGGGAACAGATATACAGATATACGAATTTAACTGCGCGAGTGAGAGACGTGGTTCTGAAACCGGTGCAACAGTTCGTGGAACAACTAGCGAAGCGGCACAGAGAGCTAGACAGTGGGAAATGGGAGAGAATAGTTATGAGAATGATGAGGGATCACGGAATTGAAAATTTCAGCGAGTTGCAGGCAGCTATTAGTGGCGCGGGTCGCAAAGAAAGAGTAGCAGATGAGGAAGTGGAGAAAAGTGATAATGAGTGGAAATTTTTGCAGGAAAATTGGGAGCGCCAAAACGACGAGTTGAGACAACGATTGGAGAAGGCCAGAGCCGAAGCAGAAGACTTGCAACTGCAATTGGATGCAGTCCAAATAGAGAAAGAAGGGTGTGAGAAGGAAATGGAAAGACTGGAAAGGGCATGGAAGCTGGAGAGGAAAACGGCGAAGGAACTGCGGCAAATGATGGAGCAGTCAACAGGTAAAGAAAAAAGAGACCAGGAAAGAAGTAAATTGGTGATTCAGGAGCGCTACAGGAGGCCCGGAACACAATCGGTCGATTCGAGAGGATCATCGAGTGCATGGCCAGAGCCAGAGAGCCAAAAGAGAGGTGAGGCGAAGAGAAACGGAATTATGGGAAGAAGGGAAATAGAAAGTGAAGATGGCTGGCGGAAAAAAGTAGAAGACTGGGATTTCACAAGCGGCGATTATGTTGGTATGCCTAGAGACAGTATGGGAAGAGAGCGCGAGAGTGTGAAGCTCAAAGAGACAAGCGGTGCAAGGAAAGGGAAAAGTGAAACGGGCTCCAGTGTGTCGAAGGGAAGTAGCTCAAAGATGATACAGTGCCTAAATAAGCTAATGAGAGCGAACGTGTTGCCAGAGCCAGCGGTGTTTGATAAGAAAGGAGAAGTAAAAGAGTTCAAACGGTCGTTTTTGTTGAAATATCGGCACGTGACTGAAAGGGATGAAGATTTGTTGGCAATATTGGAAGATAAGTTTCTGAAAGGGGCAGCGAGAACACTCTTTAAGTCGCTTCCGAAAAGATTCGAGCGTCCAATTGAAGAGTTGTTCAAAGAATTTGCTGAAAAGTTGAAAAGGAGACAGGGAGACAGAGAAGCGGAAGCATACAATGAGTTCGAAGATTTAAGGCGAAGGCCGAGACAGCGAATGTGGGAGTACTGTATAGAAGTAGAGAAATGGTCCCGAATAGCGTTCCCAGAGATGGATGAGGAGACGTTGTCGCAGCTACGAGTGACGAAGCTCATGAAGGCGTTGCGAGATGACCAGATGATGCAGAAGCTCATGAACATGAAAAGACATGAAGTTCCTAAGAGGGAACAATATGAGTTTATCAAAGACATTGTGCTTCAGCAAGAGAATGAGGATAACAGAAGACAGGGGTTCAGGAAAGCAGACAGACCAGCGAAGAGCGAGTGGCAGGGAAAAAAAAAGTCCGCATAAGAGAGCAGATTCAGATGCGCAGAAAGAAAGGGGAGACGGTAGTAGGTACTGGAAGAGGAAAGAGGAAGGGGAAAGTGAAGGAACACGGTGAAGCAGAGCCCTGGCAACGAAATGGCGTTCGAGAGAAGGAATAGTGGAGTTGTAACAAATTGAGAAGTTTTAATTTTGGAATCTGTTTTGTTTCAATGAATTGAAAAAAATAAATTTGGTTGTTCAATTTTGATTTTTGAAATATAATAATTTAAAAAAAAACTCTTGTCATTTCGGGCCCATAAGTTCAGCTCTCAACTCTTTGAGGGGTTTATAAGAACAGAATTCCGAGAAATGTGTGTTTTTTCCTTGAACTTTTAATTACTTTTCTTGCTAACACCTCTTGGCAGGTGTTTTATAAAATCATTCTCAAGGAATATATTGGTCGGTTTGCCATTACTCATATTTCGTTTTTTCATAACATTTTGGATATGAACTCTCAATGTATCCCGGAGAATGAGAATGAATTGCCTCCGATTAATCGGGGTATTAAGGTCCAGATACACAAAATACAAAGAAAAACACGGTTTTATACAAAAATAATATTTATTATTCCGTATAATTAATAACGAACAACAATATCACCAAAAGATAACTCTAAACTTGACGTAAATCGTCCAAACTGACACACAATCTGTTCAAAAACTAACTCTAATTCAAACACACCCGGTTGGCGCGCTTGTCCTCAGCCGAACAGCGGAGCGTCGTTGCAAGCGCACAGGGAACTGCAGAAAGGGTTTGGGGGTAGCTTGCCTGGGCAACTTCCCCCCCGTGAAGAAATTCGGACCCCTGGCCGACCAGAAGCACCTGTGGCTTGACTAACATTCTTCTCCCGTATGCTGTTAGTCACCTATGCTGACTACTTATACTATTATTTTACTGATATTCCTACTATTACAATACAAAACAATTAATACTTAACTACTACTACTAAACTACTACTTATACTCACTTAAAATAACCTACAATAATCTATTCTTGATACGTTAATAATAACTCAACAAGTTAGTAAATACAATTATACACGATATTTATCTTCTTCTACTCATACTTTCCTCCTCCTTGATCCTCTTCCTCATCGGCTCGCCGCTTTCCATTTTCTCCTTGTCCCGCTCCACTCCCGGGTGTTTCACCAATACTTGCTCCAGATATCTTATGAGCTCCTGTGCTGATTTGTACTCATCTGGTGCCGTGGTGACGAGCGGTTTCAACTGTGTTCCGACTTCCGTATTCGCATCAATCCACTGAACATTCGCCGACAGAGGTGTTAGCAAGAAAAGACAGAGGTGTTAGCAAGAAAAGTAATTAAAAGTTCAAGGAAAAAACACACATTTCTCGGAATTCTGTTCTTATAAACCCCTCAAAGAGTTGAGAGCTGAACTTATGGGCCCGAAATGACAAGAGTTTTTTTTAAAATTATTATATTTCAAAAATCAAAATTGAACAACCAAATTTATTTTTTTCAATTCATTGAAACAAAACAGATTCCAAAATTAAAACTTCTCAATTTGTTACAACTCCACTATTCCTTCTCTCGAACGCCATTTCGTTGCCAGGGCTCTGCTTCACCGTGTTCCTTCGAAATAGTTTTCGATAATCCTCATACATAAATATCAAAACTATTGAAGACAAAATCCCATGAAATCCGGCACTCGATACAAATAAATTGTTCAAAACTTGATTATAATAACCCAAACAAGAAGAAATGATGCCATAGGCTACACTGAAGATTAAAGTTAGAATTGGAATCAAAACTTGTAAATGAAGTTTGCCCAAGAATCCAGACTGTTTCCGAAGGGTTTCTTGAGATACTCTGGGATTTTCAGATGAGAATAGAAGAGTGAGCATTGTGAAGAATAGGCTCTCAGCAATCAGAATCAGAATTAGGGTGGTAAATGCGATGACGATGGCTAATGAATTTTGGGTGAGTACGAAAATGTGATTTGTGTTAAATCCTGATGGGATGCGAGGAAGAAGCTGAAGATAAAAATCTTCAAATGTAGTAAACAAAAAAGGCACAGTATCGCTTTGCTGTGTTCCAATTCAGATGTATCAGGGATTATCTAAATTGGAACAGAGCCCTTTTACTTACTTCTAGGAACATATCCTTTGCTCTGTCTTGCTCTGGCGCCTGCTCCATCGCTATCCACACTAGAACTGGTAGACTGCAATAATGAAGTGCTATCCACAAAATTCTAGCCTTTTTCCAAATTTGGGACGAAATAAATTTATGAAACCAACTTTCGAACAACACCGTTGACGAAACCGATAGCACTGAAAAATTTTTGCTCTTGAAAAGTACAACATTTCGAAACTGCGACATTTCGAAACCAGCTATTTCGAAACCGGTAATTTAGAACCCGTGGTAATACCGGCGATCATTACTAATAACATTCACCAAATTCCGTATGTTGGTATGTATGTCGCGCGCCGTTGTATCCACTTAAAGTTAGCCGATTGAGCTGAACCTGGACAGAGAGATCAGGTATGTGTCTAATTGAAGGTTTTTGGTTTTTTCAAGACGAATTTTCGATATCCATTTTGGTCCCCTGAATAATAAATTATACTTATTTCATGAATTCCCGACGTTTTCAAAGTGAAAAAGAAGGCGTTTGAAATTTTGAAGAAATTTTGAAATAGTGTTTTTTCGACTTGTCCTATCGCCCAAAAGCAAAACTTTCGACTCTCGGAATTGCTCCGTCTTGCTCTTTTTTGAGTGTAACACCACCAAATCTATCACCCAAATGATCTTTACATATTTCTGTGTATTCCGTGCGATTTTGAGCAATATTTGGGAAGTTACAGTTTTTCAAATTTCTTGCAATTATCAGATTTTGGGCATTATCAGGGCTCACAGACGAAATCGAGCTGCCAAATTCTGTGAAAATAATGTTTCTATCACTTCTGAATGTTTGAAAGACTTTTTTGCACTTTCAAAAAAAATTTCTCAAAAAATCAGTTTTAAAGTGTGGGGTACCCCATGATGATTTTTTTTTCAAAAAAAAAATCGAAAAAATTTTTTTTTTAATTGTACAAAAAATGTTTCAGATGATAGAGAAATGATCAAAAAAGAGTTTCCCGCTTGAAAAAATCCTGGAAAAGGAGTTTTAAAGCTCGAAAAATGCAAGTTTTTGGGCAAAATTTAGTACTGAAAACACTTTGAGAGCCCATATTTTTGTTCCTATTAGGGTTATGACCGAGATATTGCTGAAATCGTATTCAGCATGTTCGAAAGTACCTTTGTACAAATTTTGAGCTAATTCTCAACGCCCCTCTGAAAACACTTCCCTTGTCAGTGAGATAAGATCACTATAAAGGAAGAGAAAGTAGAGGGAAGAATCAGTTCTCCCTTTTCGGGGCTCCCTAGAGGGGACCGGAGAAAGGATACAGATTTCTGGGTCCAGATTTCGGATTCCTGGATCCGAATTCCTGGGTCCGGATTTCAGATTCCTGAGTCCGGATTCGGGATTCGGGATTCTGGATTCGGGATTCCGGATTTCTGGGTTGGGATACGGGGTTCGGGATTCGGGATTCGGGATACCGAATCTCAGACTACAAAAACATATTTATGTTTTTCAAACATGTTTTTTCTCACTCATTCTGAAATTTAAAAAATTCAAAAAAATCTTAAGTAAAAAGTATCTTAAAGGAGGGCAGACAGCAAAAATTTCGGGGAAAATTTCAGGGAATGTGTATTTTGCCGTCGCGGTGTTCGCACCTAAAGCACGCAATCCCACGCGCAAACATTTTTATTTTTTTATTTCCCGACTTTATTTTTTTCAATTTTTAACGACTTCAAAAATTAAAAAAACTCTTTTTTCTTATTTATTATAAAACCCATATAAAAGTCAATTTTTCATGTAAATTTAAAGTTCTATCGACCGATTATTTTTCCAGTCGCCGGTGTTTTTTATAGGCATGCGAAAAAAACTATTTTCTCTTCGATAACCGTTTCTTCACTGTTCCTATTTATCTCATTACTTCTCGTTATTACTCTAGGAATAAAAAACTGTTTCATGACTGGGGTTTTCAGAGACGTCTCCATTTTTACTGCTTCCTTCACCTTCCGACGACCAGCCCTGCACGAGGATTGTTTTAATTATGTGGTTTTTTTTCAATTGTTATGCCTCTTTCTAAAAATTAATTGTGTTTTTTTCATAATTTATTTGTTAACATAATAAAACACGTTTCTTCATTTTCAACTGATTTTGGTACCTCGGAGCGAGGCCTCGGCGGCACGCTGGTAGCCCTTCAGAAATTCCGAGTTCAAAAAGTTCAATCCGAAGGAAACAAGGGAAGAAAAAAGTAAAAACACCAGCAGGGATTGAACCTCTGACCTCCTGAATACTAGCCTAGAGCGTACCCACTACACTACGCGTGTAAGAGGCGACCATCGCGTTTTTCACATTATGAAGCGACGCCGCAGCAGCAAGCTAGTGAAGAAATTAGGGAGACAAAAAAGAGCATTTTTTCGTCCTTGAAGTGTTTTTTTTTCAGGTTTGTAAGTACATAGCTATATTTATACTTCAGAGTTATATCTTTTGAGTAAAAATGAAATTTTTGAAATTTTTGATGTCTGGCCTCCTTTAAGTATCTTAAGTAAAAATGTTCAGATTTTTTCGAATTTAAGAGTGTGTTCAATCATGAAAAGCATATATTAAAATCATGAATACGTTTCGTAGTCTGAAATCTATCAATTCGCCTGTAATACCGCGTTTTCGAAATGACTGGTTTCGAAGTGTCGCGGTTTCGAAGTGCCGTCTTTTCACGCCAAACGTACATGCTAAGCTGGCCACCAGAAACGCCACTTGAACGTCAACAGGAATTTCGAAATATGTCAAAACTCCGAAAGGTGCTCCCACCATATATGGAAGGAATACATACGGAGACGCTAGAACCGTGATAGAATAACTGAAGAATAAAATCGAGCTGTGATAATTCAGAATATTCCATTTCAACGTCTTCAAGTTTGCAGAAGACCTGCACAGAATGCAATAGAAGCAATAGATATGGAACGGGATTCCGATGAAAGCAGAGAAATGGAGTACCCCGGATAAGAAATCAATTGAACCAAACCAACTTTGACTACATTCTGGACACACATTCATGACGATTTGAAGAAAGTCTGTCGATTTCTAAGAAAATGTATAGCTCTCATGAAAAATTAATATTAAAAAAACCACCTGTTTGTGAAATCACGAAAGTTTCCTGTCAGAAGTTTTTTTTTCCGTAGTTTCGAAATATGAGTAATTGTGATACTTATATTTTCGCTTCCTTCAACTTCCTATCAAATTTCCTTAACACAATCACTATCCTTGGATCATCGATTCACATTTTCTGCATCTACAGTATTCTAGAAAACTCTTATTTAAATGTCCTTAAGTTCAACCTTATCACCTATCATGCCATGGTTTTACAGTTTCACTATTTGCTAACCGCTCTTGATTCCCCTTATTTGATGCTTCCAGCTATAGCCGGAGCTCCATTTGGCGCCATTAACTTTCTAGGAACATCGTGTGAAATGCAGGTAGAATTATTAGTTGGTAGTATAGCATGTAATATTGGTATTTTGGGTATTAGAGAAAGAAAATTAGGTTTTCAGTGTTCGCAGTTTCCACAACTATTCTATTTGAGAGCTGGTACTGTACACTCTTTCACAGTTATTCGTTAGTTTGGTCAAAAGTGAGAATCTGGTGGATTGGATTTCATTATCTTTTACCCTTTATTTTGGTCGTTGTGTCAATATGTCTCGAACCAAATCAGCAACAAGCTGTAGATCAAGTTATCAAGGTACTGCTTATTTAACACAGATAACCCTATTGGGAATTCAAACTTTGGCATTTCACATAAATAAATACAATTTTCAAAAATCATTAGCAGTTGACCATTCTCGAATATTCACAAACATATCGGTAACCGTTCTTCACGAAAACGTGGTTCTTCCCGACCCAATTATCCTCCCAATTGTAGCTGAAAATTCCAAAATTTCCATCATATGTTTTCTAAAACTTATTTCCAATCTATGTCCAAAGTCGATTGCAGGGTAAACTTTACAGTCATCCATTTTATAGACATTAATTTCATAGTAGTAAACTTCCATATCCATATACACAAGGGTATCGAGGTTCACAAAATCTTCGTTTCTCAATTCCCAGCGAATTTCTTCTCTTATCACGGTGCTCCTCCAGCGAGCAACCGACCTGTGTCTTTGGTAGTAGAACATGTCTGAAAAACTTTGCATTTCTATACCGTAGCTGTAAAAATTAGTAAATATTGAAGTACAAAAAATGTAGTTATAAATTGGAAGTTTAATTTACTGTTCAACATTCTAATTAAAGACAAACCTATAATTGCTCTTTAAGCCCGTATGTCTTGGTTCCTTTAACAGATATCAAAAAGTGGTAAACTGATAAAATGTTTATCATAATGTTAACAACATTTTTTCAATTGACAACTTTTCGATATCTTTCACAAGAACCAAGATATATGGGTTCAAAGTCAAAACAAGGGGTGAACGACTTCTATTATAGTGTTTACGGTAATTGGAACTCAAAACAATGGTAAAATTTAGAATACCGGACTCTTGAGTTAATTGGTTTACTGTGAAACCTGTATTAGAAGAGCCCCTTCAATAAAAGAGCCCCTCTAATAGAAGGACCCTCCGGTGGTAGCTTGGAACAAAAAGGCCGGCCCTTCTCATATAGGTTTTACGCTGTTCGAAAAAATATCATGGAACTGACAGTGAGAAAAGGGTGAAAAAAAACGGAAAGTAAATGACATATGTACTGTAGCTTTCAAATCCCCCTTTTTTTGCAAAATGCGAGTTTGGTAACATTTTGATCCCTACCGTTATTTCTCAGAGCAAACAACAAACCCCGTGCATATGTGACGAAATATGTCGTGCTCCTGTTTGCTTACTTGAAAATGAGCGGCTGAGCCAATCACTGGACAGATGACTCAGAAATCATTTTCTAGTGATAAACAGAAACTACAGTGTATATGATCTGAGGATCTCTGCTTTGCGGCTTTACACTGCCACAAAGTTGATAGATTAAGGTAGAGCCTGTACAGCTAGATCAGAAATTTGGCACTGTGCCAAAATAAAGATCCTTTCTGAGATTTTCGGACTCTTTGATTTTCCTGTCCCTTTAAATCCATTAACCATTTCACTCCATTTTCAGTTGTCCGATGAAAATATTTAAAATAAAAAATTTCATTCTTAACCAGTACAGAAATACAGGTGAAACTATATTCCTCTTATTTTTACAGCATATTCCATTATGAGCAAATATCCCAAAATGTCTAGTCATCATAGAAAATAATATTTTCCGATACGGTCGATGCACCAAAAGTGTAACAATAGTAGACACCAATCCATGCATCGCTTCGGTGATCATCGACAAATTGTTATATGCCTGATTGTAATAATTGCATACTACAGCCATCCATTGGTAACCGAATGGAAATAGTAGTAATACCATTGGGACCCCGATTTGGATTAATACAGCGAAAAAGAAATTTCGTTGCATTTTGAAAGTTTTCGACGAGATTTGTTTGGTACGAAGTTGTTGAATCGAGTGCCAGCCAATGGAAATTGCAAAAAACAAAACTTCTAAACATGCCAGTGTGGTGAAAAATACCATCAGTAGAAGCTGATACGTGTAGTCTTCACATGCGATAAAAATTGGAGATGTTCGGATATAAGCAGGTAAACATGGGAGTGCCTGGAAGAAGTTTGAACTCTTAAAGAGCATGAAAAATATTTTTTCTAGAAAGTTTGTTCATATGCACCTTTCTAGGAGTTCAACTTGTGGTACCACTGTTGAAGGTGCCACGTTGCTACCATCTGAGCTACGATGGCTCACCTCTAAAAGTCTCTGCTTTGCCATTTCTTGATTTGGCGACATGAACCCGAAAATTATTAAAGCTACAATCACACCGAAGTAATGGAGCATTATCCATGTTCGTTTCCATTTGACACAGAACTTTTTCCATCTAAAACTGCAGACAGCGAAAAATCGATTTTTGAATATAGCGATTATCGAAATCATCATAACTGTAACTTGTGTGAGGTTCATGAAAATCCGTGTCAAGTTTTACACTCACATCCCAATAACGCAAATACTGAGAACGTTTGAATAAAGCTAGGAACTCCCAGAACTTTCAAAATCCCCATTGGAAACATAGCAAAACGTGGCAATAATAGTACTGGAATAGTGAAAAAGCCAACGGAAATGTCAAACAGAACAATCCATATTTGCAAATTGAATAAGTACCATTTTACCGACCCCATTGATTTTGGAGTTCTGAATAAGATAATATAAAGTCCCAAAATGTGTACAGGAGTAGACAACGCAGTCATTATATGAAGCAGAAGCGAGTAGACGAATGGAGAATCAAGAAAAATGGTGTCTTCTTGTGTGCTGCACATTTTGGAGTAACTGAATGCAAAAAGTTTTAGTTGAGTAACAATATGAAACTTTATTATGAACTAGTTAAGTTAAAAAACAGCTGCTCCTTATAAAGTCAGTCAGCAAAAAACGTGCAAATTTATTCCAGGAATATCACTAGAAGTTGTTTCCTGGAGCATGTTTTACAAAGTTTAAAAAGGGAAGTTAAAGGTGATAAAATTCGATTAAGAAAATAGTTTACAAGAATTAGGTGATTTTTAGACTTTCCAAGAATTGTGTCTGAAATTTCGTAGTGATAGTTTGTGACTTCCGTTGTAAGATATTTTAATGAAAGTCGGGTATTAACTTTTACGGTTTTTTTGGAGTTACGGTATGCATTCTGACGTCCCGGTGTATAGAAAGTACATCGATCGGTTGCGAAGCTTGGGCCACCATAGCTCATCTGGTAGCAACAAATCAAATCCGACAATGTGCCCATAAGTTCAACTCCTCGAAGGGCTGGCTCTTTCCGGAAAGAACGGTCCCAAAGTGGGGCCGTCGGTCCCATCATCGGACCCCGGTCCCAAGAATTGCGACAACGGTCCCATTGTTTCGATAACGGTCCCAATGTCCTGAGAACGGTCCCAAGAGTACGACAACAGTCCCAACCAGGCTTAACCTGGAAATCCTATTGGAAAAATTGGAAATTGTTATTTTTATTTCAACTAAGAAACACATTTCAGCAACAAAGACGAACTTTTTGCTGATAATTGAGAATTCCAGCACTTTTTAACTGGAATTTTTTCAGAGTGTCTTTGGTTTTTAATTAAAGGCTTAGGCCGGATATTAATAAAAATCTCATCTCTTGGGAGCCTGTCTATAACAACACAATCCTATAAACATGTCATTGCCTTCACCTCACTTGACAAGTATGGATTATATCTTCGCCGACTATGACATGTCACTGACCTATTTCATTTTGAATGGGCTTCAATTAAACAGAGAATATTACTCTTGTCCAGATGACGTCGCATTGAGACCTCAAGCAGTTTCCAGAAAGTTGTGGGGAACTTACTTCTTTTTTAGTGGCTTCGCTATTTTGGTGAGTCAGAAATTGCGCCCCAGCGTACCTCGAGCTTTCGCTTCTACTTCTTGTTTGCTGATTGTAAAGCGTACCGTATTTGCGTTACGCAATATAAGCCCATCCGATACTTGCACTTTGTGCTTAATTATCTCGGTTTCCATGAGAGATATCAAAAAGTGGTCAGTTGACAAAATGTTAATCGTAATATCATCTAAATTTTATCAATTGACAAATGTTTGATATGTTTCACAGGAACCGAGATAATTGAGCTGAAAGTGTTGCTATTAGAACAAATACCGTATAACCAATACGCGCTGACTTGACAAAGCGGTTCCTATAGAAAATCTCAAAAATCTGTCAACTGATGACAATCTTTTAGTTATACCATTGTTAAAGCCCTATATAATCCCAATTTTTAGGTTCTCTACCTCATATGTTTCATAGCGATCGCTACAAATGACCTCATGAAAACTCCAGCATACAAAACAATGTTTATACTTGGTATCTACGACATGTCTTCGACATGTGTGCATTCGATAGCTACTGGTGTCTTTGGTTACTTTGGTATCACTTTTTGTGATTGCCCCCGACTCCATTTCGTACTCGGAAGTGTGGGCCTCGGCTCCTGGATGGGATGTTGTATCACCAGCATGACACTGGCAGTTATTCGAATAACCGATGTGTGTACGACTTTGAAAATACGCAAGGTTTTCGATGGACACCGAATTTACATTTTCATAGTGATGTTCTGGGTTTACGGCCTGTACGCTATGTTTTTGTCAAAACCAGTTACATTTTCCCCTGCACACATGTCTTGGTTTTTTGATCCGGGAGTAGGGAATGATGTAGGGAAAGTATTAACTTCAGACTAAGTTTTGAAGAAAGTTTCAGCCAAACCTATATATCAATATGGCACACACCATTAACAATGGAATCATGGCTTTTGCCACTGTAATTTTTTACGGGTACTTGGCTTATTTAGCACTAACGAAACCTGGAACAAGTGGGAACTTTAAACTGTCAAAATTTCAAATCAATGTGAGCCGGTTCACTAAGCCCGTAAAAAAATTCAAAGGTAAAAATTCCAGATCCTTCTCCAAGTATTCTTCTTCTGCATTTTCCATTTCATTGGTTCGATTCTCTACGTTTACATGCAATTCGTGTCAGCTCCGGATTGTTTGATATTGCTCAGCCAGCTATGCTGGCAATTTGGAACCGGGTCCGTTTGTATGGTCTACTTAACTTTGAACCGATCGATCCGGAAGGCTGTGGCCATGATGATACTTCCTAAAATATTGACAAAAGTTGATCCTGGTCCAACTCTCATTGTTATGGATAGTAGAGTGCTTGAAGTTTCTCAAGTTATTAATTGAAAGTTTGATATATGTTCTCTTGTTTTCTGAATAAAGCCAGACAATGCGTCATTGGGAGTCAATTGGGAAATGTCTGGTGATCGAAAAAATGTCTAAAAAAAACAAAACAATACTGTTTTTATTGTTCGGGAAAAATTGATGAGGGCCTTCAATTTATGAAAAAAGAAGAGTAAACTTTAATCTAAAATATTCAAATTTAAAAAAAAAGCGCATCTTATAAAGTCTGTCAGAAATGTGCAAGTTTATTCCAGGAATTTCCCTAGAAGTTGTTTCCTGGAGAGCATCTGCTTCGAATGTTATAAAGGGAAGTGGAAAGTTGATAAAATTTAATTAAGATGAGAGTTTTGGGGATTAGGGGATTTTTAGACTTTCCAAGAATTTTGTCTGAAAATTCGTAGTCATAAAACCTGTGTCTCTACAGCGCCTCTACAGGTTTGAGGGCTCTCTACACGTTTTTTTACTCGTTCACCCGTGCGATTGTTTTGAATAGACAATAGAAGTTGTTTCCTGAAGAGCATCTGCTTCAAAGTTTATAAAGAGAATTAAAATGTGATAAAGATTGTTTAGACAAGAGATTTTGGGGATTAGGTGATTTTTAGACTTTCCAAGAATTGAGAAATTTCATAGTTGTACTTTGTGACTTTTGTTGTATGAAGTTTTGAAGGAGGGGAAGGACGTGAGAGAGAAAAATTTTTCTCGAAATTTTGTTTATGCAAGCCCTCGAGGATTTGAACTTGTCGGCTTAGCGTTGGAGGTGCCGCACACCGGCTGAGTTATGCTGAGTTGCGCCGAGCTACGCCGAGCTACGCCGAGCCACGCCGAGCTACGCTGAGCTACGCTGATGCAAGATGTTGCGCTAGACACGCGCTGTGTGAACACTAACGACAGTACACCATCACGTCAGAATGCATACCGTAACTCCAAAAAACAGTTCTCATTTAATACCAGATTTTTCAAAGCCTGGGAGATATACAAACTTCTATAGACAAGACATATACAGTTTTTTTTCACTTCTGGTACAATGTTTGTATCATAACAATGTATTCTAACTCACAACAAGACCCGTCATATGTGTATAATCCCATGGGGACCACGTTTTATATTCCAAATATTATAAACATCACATACTGGCTCTGACGCCCACACATTCCTACTCATTCCAACGAAAATGGATTATATCTCTACCGACTTCCAAATGTCATTAACTTATTTGCTGTGGAATGGACTAGAAATGAACCTAGACTATTATCAATGTCCAACTGAGCCGAAACCATCTGAAATTCGAAGAGAGTTGTGGGGAGCCTATTTTTGCTGGACAGGGTTAATACTGATACTACTGTACCTTATCTGTTTCATCGCCATCGCATCCCATGAATTGATGAAAACGCCGGCTTATAAAGCGATGTTTGTTCTTGGAATCTTTTATTTGTTATCCATCCTAATTGGCTCGGTGGTTACTGGGATTCTTGGATTTGCTGGAGTTTCTTATTGTGACTTCCCGCGTCTTATATTCATACTGGGAGCTATTGGATACGGGTCATGGATGGCGTGTTGTATAACTAGTTTGAATTTAGCGGTTATCAGAATTTGTGATTTTTGTGAGTTGAGAATCCATAAGCTTTTCGAAGGCTCCAGAATTTACGTTTCGTTATTTTTCTGCTGCTCTTATGGATTCTACGGTATCTTTCTAACCAAACCACTACTTTTCTCATCGGCTTACATGTCCTGGTTTTTTGATCCGGGCCTTGGAAAGAATGTAACAATTTTCCTCTCTGATTTTAAAAACTATCTAAAAATTTGCAGCCTGCTCTCTACATAAATTTCGCTCAAATCTTCAACAACTTCTCTATGGCCATCGGTACAGTAACCTTGAATGGATATCTGGCTTACTTGTTCATCAAAAAGCCGGGGTCAAATTCTAACGAGTTTTCTAAATATAAAATTAATGTGATTACCAATTTTCCATTACGTCTAGGTTTCAATCGATTTTGTTTAGGTCCTCCTCCAAGCCTTTCTTTTTTGCATATTCCATTTCATCTGCGCTCTGATGTACACCTACATGCAGTATATATCAGCTCCAGAAGTGTTGATTCTAGTTACACAAGTGACGTGGCAGTAGGGAACCGGATCTATTTGTATCGTGTATCTGACTCTGAATCGGTCAATTCGAAAAGCAGTGTTTCAAATGATACTCCCAAAAATCAATATTAAAGTTAGTCAAGTTCCAAACGTCCCGTCATCAGATAGCAGAGCTTTAGAGATGCAGAAAAATGTTATACCCTAACTTTTTCATTTTAAGTCAATTTATCTAAATTCCTGTCAAATATATAGAAAATTAGTCAATTGATAAATTGTTTATAATAACATCAGAAACATTTTATAAGTTGCAAAATTGTTGATATCTTGCATAGGAGCCAAAACAAATCAACTCAAACTTGAACTTTTTTCTCACTCATAGTAAACTTTAAAAAAATCTTTAACATTTATTCAAAGTAACACAACATCCAACTCTTCCTCGAACATCCATCGCTGATCCTTGAGAATTTTCTGCACAGATTTTCCAATATTTTTCCATTGATTCTCGGTGAGAAATTGAGTCGCAGTGGCAGTAACGCTCATCGATTGCACAAATAACACGAATTTGATTTCTTCAGAAGCGCTACGCCGAGGACGAGATTTTTGCTAAAAACATGGGTTAAAAAGTATTGTGTGTGCTAAACATTGCTTACCTTTTTGGCCAATCGTGGTGGTTCCGTACGCTTACTCGTCGAACTAGATGAGGTAGAAGATGTTCGGTGGTTCGGTTGAAGAAGAAGTAGGAGTACTAGATGGTTTAGAAGTAGGGCTAGAAGAAGAAGTGGGAGGAGTAGATGGTTCAGAAGTGGAGGTAGATGAAGAAGTGGGAGGGGAGGATGGTTTAGGAGTAGACGTAGAAGAGGAAGTTGAGGTACTAGATGATGAAGAAGACGAGGTCGAAAGAGTAGATGGTTCAGAAGAAGGGGTAGGAGGAGAAGATGGTTCAGAAGTAGGAGTAGAAGAAGAAGTGGAAGGATTAGATGGTTCAGAAGTAGGGATAGAAGAGGAAGTAGGAGGAGTAGATGGTTCAGAAGTAGACATAGAAGAGGAAGTTGAAATATTAGGTTGGCGGGAAAGTCTTTGTCACTCTGTTTGTTTAATCACTGTTCTCGTATATGGAGGCTGTGTATGATATCGACTCTAGTGAATAACAAGGTGATAAGAACCTTCCATATAAACAAGTCCCCATTTCCTTCCCTGCTCCTCATCTGTAATTGAAACGATATGTTTGTTCCCACTGCAATTCACATCAGACATGTTTTGATTTACCTCTTCCTATCTCACACCACGATGAAGGATTCGGAAACTTTCTTGAAGAATGTGTACAACACACATGCCCCTCACTACAATACTATTCGCAATTGGTCCATCGTTTCGAAAAAGATGACTTCTCGCTCGATGAAAAGGATCGCTCTGGGAGACCCCGTGAGTTGGATTTGGACAAGCTGAAGCACGCATTGCAATCGGATCCATTTCAATCTAGCCGTGAACTAGCTGTCACATTCGGAGTTCACCATAGCACAGTCCTTGAAGGTTTGAAGTCTCTTGGAATGAGAAAACTTTTTGGTCGATTCATACCTCATCACCTGACTCAAGCCAACCTTGACCGCCGAGTCGACGATTCGATTACTCTTCTCACTCTCCACGCGGGCGATCGATGGCTGGACCGGCTAATAACCGGAGATGAGAAGTGGGTCTTCTACGATAATCACCACGGGAAATCCCAGTGGGTTGGAGAAGGAGAGAGCCCACAGGATGTCCCCAAACCCGACCTTTATCCGAAAAAAGTTATGCTCTCTGTGTGGTGGGGAGTGGACGGCCCCATCTACTGGGAACTTCTGCCCGAGGGCAAAACAATAACTGGAGACCTCTACACTACTCAACTACGAAACCTCAAGAAAGCAGTCGACCGTTCGGCCCTGAAAGACAAGAAAGTGTACTATCAACATGATAACGCTCGCCCACATGTTTCGAAACAAGTGAAGCAGGAGCTGATGGGATATGGATGGAATGTTCTCCCTCACCCCCCGTATTCTCCTGATCTTGCTCCTTCCGACTATTGGTTATTTGGCGATATGACACGTGCCTTCGAAGGAAGAAGCTTCAATTCCCGTGGAGCGGTCGAAGCGGCACTCAAACAATACTTTGCCTCACGCCCGGCTGGATTCTACCGCAATGGAATCCATAAATTGAGGGAACGTTGGAGACATGTTGTTGATAATGATGGACAATATAATTAATTATTCGGTTATTTTTTCTTTGAGAAATAAACTATTGAAAAAGTGACAAAGACTTTCCCGCCAACCTAATACTAGATGATGAAGAAGACGAGGTTGAAAAAGTAGATGGTTCAGAAGAAGGAGTTGATTGACTAGATGGAGCTTTTCTAGTAGATGTTGTTATCCTTAGTGTGGTTCGAGTTGTGAAAATCAAAACAAAAAATTATATGACCCAGTATTCAACGGTACACCGAAAAAGTGTGTATCTGCTTCTTAGGGCAAATTTTTCAAGGGTACATTTGGGTGGACGAAAAAAATATTTTTGACAGACTATTTCGTTTTAGGCTCAAACGCTCTAGATCACTAGGTCCTCTGGACCTTTTGAAACAATGCACCCTAAAAACTTGATGTACCCTTGGATAACGGTTTTAGGACTGTTTCTAAAAAACCTACATTGATCTGAACACTTTCACATTTATAGACAACTGTTCCCTCGATTTCCACATATGTTTCGTCTTCTGTACAACTCTCATGGTCATCAATTTTCATTTCTTGAGGTGTGAATTTTATATCCAATTTTGGTGGCTTATAAAGATAGATTTGATTGGCGGTTAGACCTTTGGCAATTGCCAACTTAAAATCTGACCTCACTTGGCGAAGAGCAAATTCTTCACTCGGAGATTGTCCTTAATAAAATTCCTGATCAGTTGGAGGATATGTGTACGACAGGGGGGCGAAAAATGATACGTCAAACGTTGCAGACTGAGAGGAGCTACCTTAAACTGGAAATTGTTTCTTGATACTTGCTACTTCAAGATGCCACACCTGATCCACCTGGTCCGAAAAATTCGCATGAGAATACTAATAGAGGGAAATATACGAAAAGGAAAATTTTTGTCAGCATTATAAGAAAGACCAAAAATGTTGCAATTTTGTAGGGGTTTATGTACAGAACTTTGGGTTACTACTGAACAAATAATAACGCACCCATCACAATATGTTCCAAAAAAACGGCTAGCTAACTAACCTGAACAAAATAAATATTGTTCTCTTTTCTCTCCGCTTCAAGAGAATATGTTTTTCTGTTTCATCACTCGAAAAAGGAATTTATGTTACATGTTTATTACTAAATAGGTTTTACGTGGAATAATAAGGTCGTGTAAAGGATACAGACACATACAACCGAGTGTGGCAACTCACACACACTCGAGAAGAAATCAAGAAATATTGCAATAAAATCAATAATTTGAATTCGGGGAGAAAACGGTATAGGAGATCGGGAGAAAATGTTTGGGAGATCAAAAGAAAATTGAGATTTGATAGAACATGATAATCTATGAGGAGTTAGTATAACACAACAAACAGCTAGTAAAACAATTTAGACCTATAAATATTACAGGATTATTTATCTTCGTCGTCCTCGTCGTCGAACTCTGCCTAGGACTGTAGACATCCTTGAGCTGTTGGACCATCAGTGAGATACCGCTGAAGTCCTGCCGCCGATCTCCATCTTCCTCTGCAGTGAATTTCCTCCATTGAATGCCCGATTCTCCCCATGTGGTTGGCTCCTCCTCTTCTGAAGCAGTGATGAGTCGCTCCCGGCTTCCCGATCGCTGCCAGCATCTTCGTCGGGAGCGTCGAAATGGCTTGTTTCGAGAGCTTCTTCGAACCGTCCAGGTGTGAAAAGACGTATGGACACTTTCCATTGGTTCGAAGTCTCCATCGGCACATCAAGATGTCCGCATCGCTGCCTGGCTCGTAGTTGAAAAACGAACGTCTTCCAAGTCTCAACTGGTCATTCTTTGCCTTCTCTACATGCACCTCAATCATCTCGTCTTTCTGTGTTACTCCTGCCCACTTGATCTTAGCGGCTTCCGATGCTCTTAGCATGACATTGAACGATAGAATTGCCAGCAACGCGTCTCGATCCCTCTCCGGACTGTCTTCTTTCATTGCCAACATTGTGATCTTCTGCACATCCTCCATAGTCACTTTCACTACTTTTTCTTTAGCAGGCTTTCCTCTCTTCTTTTGGACTTGATGATGTCTGACACAAAAGACGCTCCGATGGCTGAAATGCCTTCATTTGCTGTTTGATAGGCAGCCGAGATCTTCGCCAAAGCACTACTCCCGATTTGCTTAGATCTGTCCAACAAGTATAACAGAAATGACTACTCGTCCATTGGAAGCTTCTTCTGAGAAATCCACGAATTTCTCTTGTCGTTCTCTGCCTTGTAAGCGGCAGCCGTGGACGTAGCTTTGGCTTCGAACGGAAACATCTTGAGTCTCTCGATGTGGTGTTTAAACCCTTCTCCTGCCTTCTGCTTGAGTTCCTCGACGAACTGTCTTTTGGCTCCTTCTGAAAATTATAGTTAATCTCTTTTCCCTCTCATTTCTCTCTTTTTCTCTTTTTCTCTCTTCCCCGGATGGGTGGGCTGGGTGACTCGTTAAAACACGTAGAATGATTTCGAAATTCGAGTTTCATGCCCGTTCGGGCATGTTCGCTTCGAGACCCGCGGCGCCCAGAAAGTGTGTGCGCCTTTAATCTCGCGCGTCCTTTTTCTCCGCTCTTCAACGAAAAACATAATATTAAACTTTTGGTTTCGGTTGTTTTTTCCAGTGATCTGTACTCAAGGTGTGGCTAACTATACGATGTTGAAAATCAAACTACACATAAAAAGTTTAATGCAAACATTGAAGATGTCCACATGGAAAAAGAATCTGGAATATGACATTTTTGTCGAAAAATGAGGCCTACCGTAAATGCTCTTATAGAAGCCCACCCTATATGCGCACTTTGAGCTCTATCTTGGTTCCTTACAAATATATCAAAGAGATTTTTACTGTAAAATTATTTATCATGTCATTGCTAACATTTTATCATTTGACTGATTTTTTATATCTCTCCTAGGAACCGAGATAAGTTGGCTCAAACTTGACCGTAAAACCTGTAATAGATTGACGACTAAAACATTTCTGATATTATGATGAACAATTTATCAGTTGGCATATTTTTCATATCTTGCCATCGAAATAAACTCGCTGCAAGTAATCGAAATAAACTCGCTGCAAGTTAAAAATAAGGGGGCTCTTCTCTTACAGGTTTTACGGTAAATTGACTCAAATTTAAAAGTTAAGGGGGTCATTCTATTAGAGTGTTTAAATTATGTTTGCAATTCAAACCTATACTACACAACACATAAACCAAATTCTGGGAAGATTCTGAAATATTAGGTTGATAAGAAAGTTTCTTTCTTTTTTGGCAAAACTTTTGATCAAATTTTTCTCAATGCGGAGGGAGCTAGATCAGTGAAAGTAACGTTCATTAGCATCAACCAGTCGGTTTGAGCCCCTATCGGGGGCTCAACCTCCTGGCTTTCGTTCACTGTATCTTACACTTGAATTTCTAAAGTCTAGATTTTCCACTTTTCCGAGTGCCTGAAACTTCCAAGTATTTCAATTTTTAAATTTTGGATTTTACTAATATGGGAATTTCTAGATAACGTAATTTCTCCAATAGAAGCCCACATCTATTTGATGCCCACCTCTGATAAAACAGACGTACTTTTTTTTTCATTTTTCTGATAATTTCTGTTAAGTCTTGTCGCTTTTTTGAGAAAAAAGATATCCGATTTTCTGAATTTCCGAGTTTCTACATGACAGAATACATGTTTCTTGAAAAGGGAATACAATTGTTTGATTTTCTAAAGTCTCGAATTTTTAACCTAAAATCCTTAATTGTCGAATTTCTGCATTTCCGAGTTTTTCCTGAAATTTTGAATTACATACATCAATATTTCTAAGCCTTTGGTTCGAGATCACAATGAAAGTATAGAAAAAATGTTGCAATATTTTTGTAGAGAAAGCTAAAATTTGAGAAAGTTCGAGACCCTCCTGGAATTTTTTGGAATATTCTTGAACTTTTCTAGAGCTTTCATGAATGTTTTGGGTCTTTTGGAGTTTTCTGGAATATTCTCGAAATTTCTGGCATTTTCTAGCCCTTTTTGAAATTTTCTAGAGTTTTCTGGATCTTTCTAGAACTTTTAGTATTTTCTAGAATGTTCTGGAATTATCTGGAATGTTCTCGAACTTTCTGTAATTTTTTGGAACTTTCTGGAATTTTCTAGCATGTTCTAGAATGTTCTGGAAATTCCTAGAATGCTCTGGAACTTTCGAGAACGTTGTGGAACTTTCTGGAATGCTCTGAAACTTTCTTGAATTTTTTGTAATTTTTTGAAATTTTCTAGAATTTTCTGGACTTTTCTGGAATTTTCTGGAACTTCCTGTAATTTTTAAAATTCTCTGGAATTTTCTAGTATGTTCTAGAATGTTTTATAATAATCTGGAAATTCCTAGAATGTTCTAGAACTTTCTAGAATGTTCTGAAACTTTCTGGAATTTTTTGTAAGTTTTTGGAATTTTCTAGAATTTTCTGGAATTTTCTAGCATGTTCTGGAATGTTCTGGACCTTTCTGGAACTTCCTGTAATTTTAAAAATTTTCTGGAATTTTCTAGTATGTTCTAGAATGTTCTAAAATAATCTGGAAATTCCTAGAATGTTCTAGAACTTTCTAGAATGTTCTGAAACTTTCTGAAATTTTTTGTAAGTTTTTGAAATTTTCTAGAATTTTCTGTAATTTTCTAGCATGTTCTAGAATGTTCTAGAATGTTCTAGAATCTTCTGAAATTTTCTGGAATTTTTAAAATTTTCTGGAATTTTCTAGTATGTTCTAGAATGTTCTAAAATAATCTGAAAATTCCTAGAATGTTCTAGAACTTTCTAGAATGTTCTGAAACTTTCTGGAATTTTCTAGAAGTTTTTGGAATTTTCTAGAATGCTCTGGTATTTTTAGCATGTTCTAGAACGTTCTGGAACTTTCTGGAATTTTCTAGAGTGTTCAGGAACTTTCTAGAATGTCCTGGAATTTTCTAGCATGTTCTAGAATATTCTAGAACTTTCTAGAATGTACTGAAAATTCCTGGAATTCTCTAGAGTGTTCTAGAGTCTTCTGAAATTTTCTAGAATGTTCTGGAACTTTCTGGAATTTTCTGAAACTTTCTGGAATTTTCTAGAATGTTCTGAAATTTTTTAGAATTTTCTGGAATGGTCTAGAATTTTGCGCATAACTTAAGAACCTTGTATTCTGTAGAAAATTACTATGACCCATTTTCAGTAGTCCACAGGATCGAAATTTATGTAATATACGAAAAAAAGGAATTAAAAAAATTGTTAAGTTTTGAAGATTTGTGCTCAATTTTATGTAGGCAACACATAGATAGGCCTGAACCGTTTTGAGAATTCCCTGAAGTTTTAGTGGGTTTCAACATAATTTTGAAATTTTCGATTCTCAACACTGTAGCTTCCCTATAAGCTAGAAGGCCCAGGACACCATGGACATGAAGCGCTCGGTAGTCCATGGCTACATACCACACACCATTATAGGAGTCCCATGCCCTTTGGAGTTATTCAAGTAAATGTCCGAGACGGACACACAGACACACACACAGAAAAGTTTCATTAGTAAGAAGTAGATAGTTGTCTGGCAACGCTCCGGTAATTTTTTGATTCCATCGGTCCAGAACGAGGAGGGCTGCGATTGAAATAGCGGGACTACTCCTTTTTTGTGTCATTTTTTCACTTAAAGTATTCTCTATCAAGATGACGTTTAAGAGTTCCAAAATATTTCTTTTCCTGAAGGGCAAGGTCCGGAGAATACGAAGAGTGCAAAATAACAATTCAGCCAAAGGTCATGAATTTATCTGATCTG